GAATTCAGATATCTCAAATATATAAAGTTATATGTCCGACAAACTTTCACCTTTGATTGACGATAAATGCTACATTTCAGAAAGTAAATGACTTTTTGCTAAAACTTGCTACTTTTCGAGAAACCAGATTATGAAAATCATGGTAATTTTCACTATTTTGGCTAATATTTCGCTTGTATCGAGCCAAAACATTGGAAACTCTTCCTTAAATCTTGCAAATTATCCGACTTAAAGGATACACGGCGTTAAAAATGAAGAACTTGTCGTTTGTATGGAAAATAGTATAAAAAACGTAAATTTCAGTTAAATTTTACAATATTCACTATATCTTTGTTATTTGAAGACCTAGAACTTTGAGCCCTTGAGCATTTTTTTATATTTTTTAATGTTCTACAACATTACATAATCTGTATTGACAATTCAAACCACATGACGTGAGGATTCATGATATAAAAGTTGAATTTGCTGATTTTGTGTTGAGTTCGTACGAAGTTTGTAAAAGTTTGTGGAAATTTGATTAATATTCACTACTAAACTGAAATATAGAATCCTACTGTCTATTGAAGGCCTAAATAAATGAATGAATTGATTACTCGAGAACTGATCAATTGTGTTTTATTGTAGGTAGAAATATCGCAGAGGTCCCGTGAGATCACGACATTCATCGGCATCGGTTACGGTTTGTTTCGTTATACCCGACTGATGTTTGGTATAAACTGCGCACCTGAACTGTTCCAAAAAACGATGGAACAAGTTCTGAGCGGATGTGACGGATGTTTGATTTTCATTGATGATGTCATGGTTTTCAGAGCTGATCATAAGGAACATGATTTGCAATTGGAAAAGGTTTGTCAAAGGTTGTTGGAAAGGAATGTTGCCCTGAATGAATGCGTTTATGGAGTGACTGAAATGAAGTTTTTGGGCCATGTTTTGTCAGCGGATGGTATCAAGCCAGATACAGACAAGCTAGAATCCATCCGTAGTTTTCGGGAGCCAAAATCCGGAGAAGGGGTTCGGAGTTTCCTGGGTCTAGTGAATTACGTGGGAAAAGTTATTCCCGATTTGGCGACATTGACTTACCCACTCCGGCAACTAACGAAACAGGGACATTATTTTGTTTGGGGATGTGCACAGCAGGCATCGTTCGCAAGATTGAAGAACCATATGATTTGTCCAACAACGTTAGGGTATTACGATGTTGATGATCGAACTCAACTGGTGGCGGACGCTAGCCCGGTTGGTTTGGGGGCAGTTCTTATGCAGATAAATGGACAAGGTCCCAGGATCATTGCTTACGCTAGTAAGAGCTTGTCGGATTTATTTGTATGGCCGGTCATTTGAACTAATTATGGATCATAAGCATTTAGAAGCAATTTTTCGTCCAAAGTCCAAACCGTGCGCAAGAATCGAAAGATGGGTGGTTCGGTTACAGGCGTACAAAGCGAAAGTGATCTATAGACCCGGTAAAACAAATATTGCTGATCCGCTATCACGATTGGCAATCAAGGATAGCATCTCTGGCAAGACGTTCGACGAATACGCAGAATATTACGTACATTAGGTAGCCTCTAATGCATTGCCAGTAGCTCTGAAGATCACGGAAATCGAGCAAGCATCGAAGGTCGACAAGTCGATCCAATCCGTAAGGGATGGGTTGCATGAAAATGTATGGTCAGAAGATGCCACACCATTCAAACTGTTCGCTACAGAATTGTGTTTTGCTGGTATGATCTTGCTGCGGGGAAGCCGAATAGTTATACCAGAAGCTTTGAGAATGCAAGTTTTAGACTTAGCCCATGAGGGTCACCCTGGTATAACAATAATGAAACAGAGATTGCGAGCAAAGGTGTGGTGGCCGAAACTTGATACACAAGTCGAGCGATATGTCAAAAATTGCCGGGGATGTATGCTGGTAGCAGCACCATCTGCACCAAAACCGATGAAACGCAGAGTATTACTGTCGGGACCGTGGCAACATGTATATCGACTTCCTTGGTCCGCTTCCGACGGGTCATTATCTATTCGTTGTGGTTGATTACTTCAGCCGGTACATAGAAGTAGAAATAATGACTAAGACGGATTCTAGTGAGACTATCAAGCGACTAGATTCAATTTTTGCGCGGTTCGGTTTGCCGTTGTCGATCACTGCGGATAACGGTCCTCAATTTTCTAGTGAAGAGTTCCGACGATTTTGTGACACAAACAACATCCAGCTAATCAACACAACACCATACTGGCCGCAGCAGAGCGGTGAAGTTGAGCGGCAAAATCGATTTATTTTGAAGAGGTTGGCCATCAGTCAAGCAACAAATGCTGATTGGATCGATGAACTAAACAAATATTTATTAATGTATCGTTCATCTCCGCACTCGACTACGAAAAAAACTCCTTCGGAGATGCTTATGGGCTACAACATTCGTGATCGGCTTCCAACCATTTATCAACCGAAAGACGTTGATGAAGAAACGATTGATCGAGACAAGGACATGAAGGAGAAAGGCACATTATATGCCGACGAGCGAAGAAACGCTAAGCCGAACCTTATTTCTGAAGGAGATGATGTGCTGGTGAAGAAAATGGCAAAAACGAACAAGTTAACACCCAATTTTGACCCTAAAATATTTAAAGTCATTAAAAGGAAAGGTGGAGACGTCATAGTAGCTTCGGAAGAAACTGGTGTAAAATATCGTAGGCAGCGAATTCCAGAAAATTTCGAAACTGATTCCGCCTTGAGCTCCAATGAAGGGGACGGGCCACCAACATCTGGTACATTCAACGGTGCAACATGTGAAAACGATAGGCGATCAGTAAACTCGGCCAAGAGATTCGCGCCTGGCGGGTCAGGGACTAGAAGAACCATCCGACAGCCTGTCTACATGCGAGATTACGTACAAACGGTTCAAGTTAGCTCAAGTTGCAAAAAGTAATAAAAAAAGGAAGTGAATGTAGTATCTATCCCAACCACATTAACTACCTCTCAATATATTCACCTTGATCTTAATTTACCTTACCTACTAGCTTGTGGATACATCTTTGTACACGACACACACACTAACGCAGAGCAACAATAAACGACATTCATATCCTGACTATCAACCAGGCTTAACGTTTTTATTTAACTCTCCCCGGATCAACCTCCTCGATACTACAACGAGGACATTGTTTTTCTCCGTAAAATAAATCCCTGAGTCAGAAATCGTCCTTGTGGGTACTCCATTGGAGGCCACGGCAGATGAGGGATTTTCTTGGACGGTAAGATTCGCTACATGTCTCCCAGTATGCCATTTTAGTGGCAGAACGAAGATCAGGACCAACCATTGTTCGTCCACTCTGGGAGATGCACATTAGACTGATGCAAAATTTGAAATTTTCGCTCCACAGTGTTCAAACGGTTTCAAATCGGGCCCTGATTAGCCTCCGAAAGTTTAAACTTATTTGATTAGAAACTGATTTGGTACAAACCATTTTAAGTTTATATGGAAATTACTATGGGAAAACAAAACTTTTTGTTCATTGTCTTCTAGCCTTTTTACATATTGTACTGTTAACAAATTCTATTGCTATTCTTATGGGAATTTTGATCAGCTACAACTTTGCAGAAAATCGATTTTCAGCCAAACGTCAAATTAAATAGTTATTAATTGTTTAAGAGATTGATAATCTTATGGCAAGATTCAGCAACTGTATTGTGGGCAACACTGTATTCTGCAAAGTGACATAGTAGCCATGATTTTTGTCCTCTATTCTACGCGCCATAAACACCAATTTTGCCTGCTGAACAGTTGATTGAGCATAATTATAAGACATCAGTGATTTGAATCATTAATAACTTTTGTTCCTTACATTTGATCGAAAAATGGTCTTTAACAAAGTTGTAGCTGAGAACAACAAGCTCAGTTATCATTTTCTAAAGTAGAGTGAACTGGTGAATTTTGAGATATATATGAACCGAAATTATGGTTTCTCCATAATCAGCCTAATCAGGGCCCAATTTGGAACCGTTTGAGCACTGTGGAGCAAATATTTCAAATTTTGCATCAGTCTAATACACATCGCCTGAACAAAGGCTGGGACCATGCCTTGTGTGAGCCATTTTGGGAGCATCGCGTCCCCTGGATAAGGTCATTGTTTCGGCCATTGTGACTGGAAGTTACCACGGGAAGCGGCCATTGAAATAGGCCATCATCAAAGGCCTCCCGTTGGAAACTAACGATTTTAAATTGGCTCACTACTTGACTGGCCTATTTTTCCCAAGCAAATCGATTAACGTACCCTATTTTAGTCGAAATTCTAGTACTACACTATGTTTGTTTTGATTTGCTATGAAAGTTTGACAGATAAAATGAGGGGTTCGTGGATTTTCCTATGGTTCTAGGGGTGCATCGATTAGCTTTGGATCGAAGATAATACCAGAGCTGAGGCAAAAAATTGAGCACGTTTCTTCAGGACCTTCTGGTCTTAGAGTTACCTCTATGGTATTACCATAGAGGTAACTCTAAGACCACTGGGTCCCGAAGAAAATCATTATTATTTTTGGCTCACTCAGTACCAGAACAACGGTCCCAAGCAGTCCCAAGCTATTTCACTCACCCCTGCATGTTCTGCATGAATCCACACACCCCTGATGTTATCTGTCAAACTTTCATAGCGAATCAAAACAAACATAGTGTAGTAATAGAATTTCAACTAGAATAGGGTACGTTAATCGTTTGCTTGGGACCAATAGGCTACTAAAGTGGTGAGCCAATTTAAAATCGTTAGCTTCGTATTGATTGTTGGTATTACTGACCAGTTTCACCAATACATGCGTTTTACTGGTTGAAAAAAAATAATCAAACTGCTATCAAGCCGAACACTTTGGCAGCTCACTTTCTGGTTGATAATAATAAACAAATCGATTTTACAAGACTACACTATCAAGATTGTATTGGTGAGATCTACCGGCGGGAAGTCAATGGGACACTGGACGGATATGGCTCAAATCCAAACGCAATGCTGAGTGTAATTTAAGGCATTTATTCACACGTTTTGTGTCAATGGTTTTTAAATTTTATTTGTCTAATCACTACGCTTTGTTTGGTGGAAGGCTAAGTGAGACCTAGTTGTATGCGTGTCATGAAATTTTTCTGAAAATAAATATTGAATGAATAAAACCTAACCTAAAACAGCTACCTATTCAAAGCATGTTCGAAAAATCTAAAATAGGAGCTTTAGTTTAAGAGATTTGGGATCGTCTTACTGCGCACCCTTTGGAGGAAGAAACTATTGCAAAACAATTAGGAAACCTTCTTAGTTTGATAACTTAACCTAACTTTGCTAAACAGGACAGGAAACCTTCAGAAGATCTACAATTTAAATATCAAGTCAAACACTGCTCAAGCAGAGAGACCGCATCATGACCAGTACTTGGCCGCCGCCAGGGTATTGTTGGTGTAGGCCTGTTGCATCTGGTGGTATTCAACGGGACCGCCGGAGGTTACCGACGGAGGACAGCTAGGGCCAAGGTTCGCTCCGTAGCTCTGTCCCGGGTGCGGTGGGTAGCTTTGACTCCAGGACGATTCCTGTGGAGCAATGCTGGAGGCCACCACCGCCGCCGCCGACGCCGTCGACGCCACCGTACTCAATTTGGTTGCATAGCTGTCCCCTAGCGAAGCTGGACCCCCGTGGGCCGCCGTTGGACTCAACTTGACCGAAGAGGAATTTTCGTGCGCCGGCTTGAGGTATTCTTCGTTCATCATTTTGGTGTACTCCGGTGGGATGAAATCTAAAAACCGAAAACGAAACCGCAAAGTTATACTTGAACATTTTTCAGTCGAAATCGAACTAACACCTACCTTGACTATTCTGGTGGAATCCCATCGCATTCGGGCCAAAATTCTGTCCACCAAAGTGCCCATGCTGGTACCCGGCGGAAAACGAAGCTGGACTGTGGCTGACAAAGTCATAGTTAGCGGCGGCGGCCATCTGGTACGACTCCTGTGTCGGTACCCCCGGATGGTACTGGGTCATCGGAATGGATCCCAGCGAACCTAGCGGAGTGGACATCTGCGAGCCGGCATGCTTGCGCAACCGAGCCCGTCGATTGCTGAACCACACCTGGATGCGGGCTTCCGTCAGGTTCGTCGACGAGGCCAACTCTTCCCTCGTGTAAACATCCGGATATTGCGTCCGCTGGAAGGCCTTCTCCAGCGCCTCCAACTGTTCACCGGTGAAGGTCGTCCGTGACCGACGCTGTTTACGCTTCAGCAGGATCCCCGGCTCGGATTCCGTATCGCTCGAGTCTGATCCACGACCTACAACGAGACGACGATGGATGGCATAATTAGAGCGAGGGGGGAAAATGTCACGCGTGTAAAATTAGCATGAAACGAACATTCGGTGGTCGCGCATTTAATGGATTACGATTTGGCATGAAATTGCTCTTACAGACGTAATTTAATTTTACGCTTGATTGGGAAGAAACGGCCCGGAAACTTGTCAGCCGTCGAGTGCCGTGTTTCGGTTTCAGTTCGAGGTTTTTTTTTTCTTTTGGTTTTGTGGCAATAATTCACACCTCAGTGTGTGACGGACAGCTGACAACATTTGTTAGATAATAACCATGTTGAGATGTAAGATAGTGTTTACAAGGTAAATGTTTGCAGAGCGGGTTATCATCACTCAAGCAAAATTGCAGTAAAATGAGATAGAAATGACGGCAGGGTGAAGCTCAATTGCCTTTAAGTATGCAATCAAGTTTCCAACAACTTGCGTGCAATATTGGATGGTCACTTGGATGTTGAAAACTTGCGTGGCGTTTATCGATCTGTTCTGATGAGTCTTATAGGAATTGCCACGATTTCCCTATGACTCGGATGCTTTAAGTTTGGGATGGGTACATGCCACCAAAACGGTCTTAATTTGTTTGGATACTCTTGCGTCACTTTTCAATAGGTCTTATCCACATTGATCGAATCTCTTCATTGGTGCTCTCTTTCGTTAATAACTTGGCTGCCTTCATATGTATTTCAAACTAATTTGTCCTCATGGTCTGTTAAAAGAAAGTATTATCAACCGGTAGAAACTAACGATTTAAAATTAGCTCACTACTTGACTAGCCAATTGGTCCCAAGCAAATCGATTAACGTATCCCATTCTAGTCGAAATTCTAGTACTACACTATGTTTGTTTTGATTCGCTATGAAAGTTTGACAGATAAAAAAGGGGGTTCGTGAATTTCCAATGTTTCGAGGGGTGCATCGGTTAGCTTGGGACCGAAGATAGTACTAGAGCTGAGCCAAAAAGTTGAGCACGTTTCTTCGGGACCTGCTGGTCTTAGAGTTACCTCTATGGTATTATTAAGCGTATTGGACGATAAGAACAGCTGAACATGTTTTTGGAGCCAAGTTATTAACGAAAGAGAGAGTCGATGAAGAGAATCGATCAATGTAGATAGGTCTATTTGATAAGTGTATCAAGGGAGTTCACGGCCGTTTAATCCAACTCAAATTTGAATTCCGTTTATTCAAATTCGCAAAAATTCAATAACTAATAATCAAGAATGTTGAATCTCAATCATGAATCCACATTTATCGTGATTCAAGGTTAATCGTGAAACAAGATTCATCATGATTAAATATTAATCATTAAGATCTCTATTTTTAAAGACAAGGCATTTATAAAAAAAAATAATCATTAAGAAAGATTCAATATGCAAAACGATCTTTTTTATTTTTGATCAAACTTTATGTATGATGAATATTTGATATTGGTGCATTCTGTTATTATTTCCTGACGAATTTTGATTCAAGATGAATATTAATTCATTGTGGGTTTTTATTCAATCTTGATTCATTATGAATCTTGATTAATTATAACTCTTGTCTCACGGTGAATCTTCATTCCTAGTGAATCTTGAATCATAATTAATCTAGATTCATCATGATGCATGATGAGTCTTGCTACATAATGCATCAACACTCATTATGAATAATGATTCACCATAAATAAAAAATCAACATGTATCTTGATTCATCATTCATCAATAATCAAACTAAATAAAAAATAGAGATTCATCATGCACCACGATCATTTTTGATTTTTGATCAATCTTCATTTACGATGAATATTTGATTTTGGTGGATTCTGATCCTTGAATCATCGTGTTTCCTGATGAATTTTTATTCATGATGATTCTTAATTAATTGTGGGCTTTGATTCATGATTAATATTGATTATTGATTACTCTTTATTCAAGATGACCTTGATTCATGATGAATCTTGATAAACGGTTAACCTGCATTCATGATGAATCTTTAATCATGATGAGTTTTGATACATGATTTATCTTGTATCAATGATTAATTACTCGTGATTCATGGTGAATCTTAAACCATGATAAAAATTGATGCATGATTAATCTTTATTCATCATTAATCTTGATTTTTGATGAATCTTGAATAATGATGATTTTTGATTCATGATGAATCTTGATTAGTGATGTATCAAAACTCATCATGAATCATGAATAAAAAATTAATTTTAAAGATTCAGCATGCATCAAGATTAATTATTAATGAAAATTCAACATGTATCAGTATTAATCATGAATCAACATTTATCATCAGTCAAGATGTGAAGAGATTTTGAGTGTGTTGATTATTTCCTTTTAATTACGTTATAATTGCTTATGTGCTGAGATATACGCGAATCATTATCTTGAACAATGATGAATCTTATTAATTTTTATTCATGATGAATATTGATACGTAATGCATCGCAACTAATAATGAATGATAATGCATCAAGATCATGATCCTTGCTTCTTGATAAATCTATTTTAATCATGCATAAAGTTTCATCATAAATCAACATTTATCAAGAATCAAGATTGATTATGAACCAAAATGCATAATGAATCAAGTTTAATTATACATTCATCATGAATTAAGATTAATCAGGAAAAATACTAATCAAGAATCAGAATCCACCAAGATCAAATATCCATCGTGAATAAAGTTTGTTCAAAAATCAAAATTTAACGAGAATCATTGTTCATCATGGAAGTATTCTCGTTGGAAATGCATTCACTGCTAGATTTGAATTAATTTGAATTTTTATCTCCATCATCAACCGAATGGTCGTACAGACAGCTTAAAACGACTTAATTTAATTCCTATAGACTAATTTACTAACATTGAAACCGAAATCCTCACAGATTTGATGGAATGCTCTGGCGAACGGCGTTGTAATATTCATCAATATAATTATTAAAAATCGTTATGATTATAGTCCGCACATATTCAATAACATACGGAATATGTGAGAATGACGAGTATTTATCAATTATGTTGATGAATATTACAACACTATCCGCTCAGTAATGGCGTCTTGAATAAAAATTAGTGCCATTTCATGTAACGTTAGCATGGTAGGAAATATTGACAACAATGCACCAAGGATTGCCAGCATAAAAAATCATTTGTTATTGTTTGGTTTTCACAACAAATCAATCAAATTGATTTCATCAACGATTTTAAATTTTTCGCATGATTTTTCAGATCGCTATTTGTGTTACTACAGCAGCAAATTTATGTAAAGTATTTGCTTTGGAGAAAATTACCGTTAAGATTTACCTATAATTATAATGAACAGAACGAGATGGGATAGTTTTGAACTATCTTCATGTTGATTATGGATAAGAGAGAATTATTGTAGAAAAGATTTTTAGAAGTGTTCGACTGTGATTCCAAACTGATTAGGATGTTTTAACGGAATGCAGTAAGTCGTCATTTCACAACTCACCATTATGATTTAATTTTAAACATTCATGCTGTACACACTAAGAAATAAATAATTTTACACGTGATGAAATCTATGACATATAGGATGAGACGTAAACAAACATGTAATTTATAATTAAGTCTGAAACTGAAAAGTTCGTTACTCGATGAAAAACACGTTTAATTGAGCTGAATTTAACGTTTGTTATTACTCAATTTTATGTCAAAATTGACGCTCGTAGATATCAGTCTCAGAGCACTTAAATTTAAATCAGTTTTTCTTCTTCAAGATTCATCGTTATTCAAGATTTATCGTTATTAAAAATTCATCATTATTCAAGATTCATCGTGAATCAAGATTTATCATGAATCAAGATTCATCATAAATCGAGATTCATCATGAATCAAGATTCATCATGAATCAAGATTCGTCATAAATCAAGATTCATCATGAATCCAGATTCATCATGAATCAAGAATTATCATGAATCGTTATTCAAGATTCATCGTTATTCAAAATTCATCATTCTCCAAGATTCATCGAGAATCAAGATTTATCATGAAACAAGATTCATCATTAATCGAGATCCATCATGAATCAAGATTCATCATGCATCAAGATTCGTCACCAATCAAGATTCATCATGAATCCAGATTCATCATGAATCAAGAATTATCATGAATCGTTTTTCAAGTTGCATCGTTATTCAAGATTTATCATTATTCAAGATTCATCGTGAATTAAGATTCATCATGAATCAAGAGTCATCATTAGTCGAGTCATCATGAATCCAGATTCATCATGAATCCAGATTCATCATGAATCCAGATTCATCATGAATCCAGATTCATCATGAATCCAGATTCATCATGAATCCAGATTCATCATGAATCCAGATTCATCATGAATCCAGATTCATCATGAATCCAGATTCATCATGAATCCAGATTCATCATGAATCCAGATTCATCATGAATCCAGATTCATCATGAATCCAGATTCATCATGAATCCAGATTTATCATGAATCCAGATTCATCATGAATCCAGATTCATCATGAATCCAGATTCATCATGAATCCGGATTCATCATGAATCCAGATTCATCATGAATCCAGATTCATCATGAATCCAGATTCATCATGAATCCAGATTCATCATGAATCCAGATTCATCATGAATCCAGATTCATCATGAATCCAGATACATAATGAATCATTATTATTCAAGATTGATCGTGAATCAAGATTCATCATTAATCAAGATTCATCATTAATCGAGATTCATCATGAATCCAGATTCATCATGAATCCAGATTCATCATGAATCCAGATTCATCATGAATCCAGATTCATCATGAATCCAGATTCATCATGAATCCAGATTCACCATGAATCAAGATTCATCATTAATCGAGATTCATCATGAATCCAGATTCATCATGAATCCAGATTCATCATGAATCCAGATTAATCATGAATCCAGATTCATCATGAATCCAGATTCATCATGAATCCAGATTCATCATGAATCCA